GTTTGTGTTTTAGATTTAAACCTGTAAATCTGATATTTTTAGCGATTCCTAGAATGGTACTGGTCCTCCACACTGCTGGATCCCAGATCACAGATAAGAGTTACTTTTTTTGGAAACCAAAGCACTTAAGGGTATTTATACAGTTCCAAATCATGTTTGAATCAAGTATCTTTCAGATCAGATCTTTCAGTGCTGACTGTCTATACGAAAATATTTTTATAGCGTTGTTAGCAGGAAGGTCACTGGCAAGTCTTCCAGGTTCAACTAACAGCAATAAATGCCTGTTTCTTGGTTATGCTAAATGACTCTCTTAGAGATTAGATCGTTACGATAGGATAGCCAGTCAGACAGCCCTTGAAGCACTGAAAAGGGAAGAAGTACAATTCAAAAAATATTGGACTCTCCACATGTCATATCAACATGGTAAAGTGGTGATTATGGAACAGTTAACATCATAAGCAGTATAGAGCATCTCCAAGAGCAGACACAAGTGCTATACTATAGCAGGAATTAACTAGAAACCGTAGTAGGATTATTTATGTTTACTATAGCCTTAGAAGACTATGTATCTTAGGGATATAGGATGATTATCTACATAGAATACGTAAAGAGGATGATGACGAAATTACTGTTCATATACTATGCCATTGCCGGAACCTTAAATGGGAACGCAAATGACAAGAAATCGCGCAAGCGCCTTACAGTAATTATTGGATTCATCAAGGATATTAACCTTTTAAGCTATAAACTGAGAGGAGTACAATAAGATTAGAGCTCTAGTAAAAGTAAGCATTGAACCATAACCCTAATACTGATAGAAGAAGGTTGATCAACTTTCTCTCCCATGTCTCAAATATTTATGCTGAGCAGATCATGGCAAAGGTGTACCAGTTTATTGATATTTCCCTGTCTTCAAACGAAAGTCTTTATTGTTCCACTTGTCTCTCTCTCTCTGGAACGAGGAGTAAATTCAAAATTATTCTGATCTATAAAAATTTTAGTGTTTTCAATAACGAATCTCGTAGTTATTCGTATTTTATTCACATCTACTAGTTTAACTTTAAAAATGTATGTATGTATGTGTTTACATTCACGATATGAAATGTTAATTTATTAAAAAGTTTACATTCATCGAAGGTGAACGAGTAGTAAAATATTTTTTTATCGGAATTTATTCATTAATTTCTATTTAAATTTTTTTGACATGACGTTTCTTTCCATTAACAAATTAAATTTTGTCCACATAAATACATTCTAATTAACGTATTTCTACAATAATAACATTTAATGTCAAAAGATAATCCATTTTATACATAATTATTATTTATAGAGAAGCGAAACATTAAAGTCATTATTAAATATTTATAGAAATAGAGATTTTCCTCAACATCAAACACAAATTGCACTTTAGATGTTTATTTATTTACCAAGCGACACAAAATTTGTATTAAAAGAACAAGCAAATACCATTTACTGAATATGGAAGGGTCCGTGTAACGATAGCTATGAGTTAGTATGTTCGTGACAATATTATCATATACTGGATTCAATGCACAAACTTTGGGTGGTCAATTTCACAGTGACTCACTACTAACATGAAGGGGAAGTATGAATAAATGATTTACTAGCGCTGAATAGAACCCCCTCAAATTTCGTGCCTATCTATATTGAAAAACTATCCTACATTGTTAATTTCTTTCATTAAATGTTTCGTATAGTTACGGGATGAATTATTATTGCATAGACAGATGCTGCTTACCTACGCATTCAGATTAGTTTTATTTCACTCGATATACATAAAATAAAAGTATAAAAAGGTAAATAATTAAGGTAAAAATACAAAATAGTAAATTGGTGGTAAATAAAAATATTTTAGAGATGCAAACAATACATTATTTTTATAATAGATGATAATAATTGTAAAATATAGTATATTTATATATTTATTTAAGATCAGACAAAAGAGCAATAATCTAGGTAACATTTTTATGGATTTATGGATAGCCTTTGGTATGTGTTGAGTGAAGCTTAAAGTGGGATCTAGAATAACTCCAAGGTCTTTAATTATTTGATTAACAGACTCCAAGATATGACCATTTAAGTTATAATCAAAAGTAGTAGCTGGTACATGGGATCGATAAAAGCCCATGACATGGCACTTTATGGTATCTATTGGTATTGATAAATATTTAGTCAATCATATAAAAATCTATGATATTTCTTTTAGCACAACTTTCATAAACTAAGCCTTATAAAAAACCTGTATGTTTTGGTCTACAAACCACTCACTAACGGCACTTGTGTTCGTCATTTGTCGATAATCTTTTACCCTTTAAGTATTTCTGAAGTTTTAGGAATCAATAAGAACTCGGTATGATGGTAAATGCGGAGAATAAGGCGAATGGCCAACAAAGCCAAAATTCGTCAAACTTTTTGCATCACAATCAACGAGCAAAAATTGAACACCTCTGCAAGTTTTTTACAGCCTCTTTCCATAATTTTCTCTCGTAATCCAATTAGCACCTCAGTATAATATGCTTAAATTAGAGTTTTACTTCCATACAAATAATCAATCAGAATTATTTCATCTTAATCCCAGAACACTGAAGCCAACACCTTGCCAGCCAATTTTTTAATTCTTGTCTGGGTCAAAGTAATGGATCCAAAAAGGTTCAAGAATTGTCTTCAAAATGACGACAGATTTCCTTTGAAGTCGTTATCGAAAATCGATAAGATCCAAGCAGGGTCATCAGGATCCCCATTTTATTTTAATATAAATTCGAGATGTTGCAAACAGTTTAAAATATTTAAAAATTCAATTTTGGAACAAAAACGATAAAACCTATTACAAATGATTATTCTGCCTCGGATAAAGGCAGTTTTCTGTTTAAATTATAAGCTGCATATTTTGAAATTGTTAAAATTTTCATAAATAGCTAAGGAGGTATACTTAGAGGGCACACTTCCTTAAAATGTATAAATGTTTTATGGGTAGAAAAATTGAGAATTAATTACATTGAACATTCTTAAACGTCATTTAACAAATATATGTAAGCTTTCTACTCGAATTAAAAAAAAAGGCAACAAATTTTTTAAAAAAAGAGTGATCCAATGTAGTTACCCTCCTATGTATCTATGATCTAATCAAGAAAACGTGGGATAATACAAGAAGATGCAGAATTGCTGTTATGGGGCTCGTTATCGTGACAACGCTATAGCAAACAAATACTTGACTATGACTGTACAGGATCTGAACCCTGATCAGACATTCTGATTGGTCATTGTCAACAACTCCGACGTTCTATTTTACGAGTATCAGATTTATATTGGTCGAGAATTGACCAACACCGGCCAATATGAGACAGTAAGCAAAATATTGCATAAATTAAATGAGACTGGCAATGTTAGAAATTAGTGTGGCAGATCTACCGTTCCAGATAACACTCAATTAAATGTGTTATTTAAGATTGAAGAAAATCCTCATTGTTCAGTTACAACTTTACCTGGCAGCAATGAGATATGTCGTGGTGATGATCATAAAATTACAAAAAGCATCCATATACATGAACTTAATGAAGACGACTTTGATAGACGCAAGCAGTGTTGTGAAATAATGCAAGAACTGTGTAATCAAAATAATGGATTTTAATTTATTGGTTTCGAAATAATTAACTTTTTGTAGAATGGCGAATACACAAAACTGACGCTATTTGGCAACAGAAAATTCCAACTGGGGGATGGAAGCTTATACTCAATATCATCAAAAGTAACTGTGTGGGCTGGGTTTTTTTTTTAAATTCCATTGTATAAGCATAGTTTTTTGACTGAAAATGTTGCAAACTTATGTAGTTCCATATTTAACTGTAACATTTTCAGACATTATTTATTCTGGTCAAATAGTTTCTACTATTTGGTGGCATCAGGATGGAGCAAGTCCCCTTTATGCTCTAATGGTTAGAGATCTTCTTAATGAAGATTTTTCTAATCGCTGGATTTGATGACGCAGTCACATTGAATGGCCTGCTAGATCCCCAGATTTAACTGCATTGACCTTTTTTATGGGGTTGCTTAAAAAGTAAAGTTTACGTTAACCAACCTACCATTTTGAAAGGGCTTAAAAAGAGAATTCAAACGGATATTTAACGAATTGCATGTTATTATTTGTTTATTGTTACTAAGTACTAACTACTTTTAATATTTTCATTGCAAAATAAATGATAAAGAATATCAACACTGGTTTCCTTTATAATGACCACTACTGCTTTTCTTTGTAATGACCACTGCTTTCCTTTTACACTCAGTATACTGTAAATTAGAGTTAGATATGACGTATGTGGTATGGTTGAACTCGGAAAATTAGACCCTTTCAATTCAAAAAATATATATTGATGACGTCTCATATCCTGTAAGGTAGTAGGGGTAAAAAACTTAAAATTTTTGAAAATAGAAGTAAAAAATAACAAATAAAAATCGACCTATCCGAGATCAATATAATATATCAAAATTACTATTAGACCAAGAACTGAATCCTGAGGTCCCCCCCACTTAACATTTAAATAAACGTAAATCAATATATGTTCCATCAAAATGTTTCCATCCTCTTCAAGTCAATGAATGATGAAAGGGCAGTCCATGGTTCATATAATGCTTTTGTTAAGTCGCAGAAAGCTGCTACAGCAGTTTCACATGAGTTGATGCTGTTGTGAAATATTTTCTAAACGGTTAGAAGTCAAATGTATCCCCGTCAATCTAGCTTAGAATAAAAAACGAAGAATGGGCTATTATTTTAGAAAACCCTTTAAGGTCTTATCCAAAGAAGAATATTACAATAGAATTAATTTAATTCATTTTGACATAATGGTGATAGTGATGACGTCTAATTTGGATTTACAACCTCACGATCTAACAAATTATACATATTACTATACATATTTTAAGAAGATTTTATTTAATTATTTAACAAAGGATATGATGTTAATGAAATTGGGGAAAAAACTTACCGTAATGGGAATATCATGATGGTCACACGTGTCCAGCCTTCTCCTGAAACGCAAAACAGTGTGGGTGTTGTTCTCGTAACCCAGTAACAGTTGGTAATCCTGGCTGGGATCTACTTCGGGCTCTCTGTCTATTGCACTTCCGGGCGAGTCCTTGACGTGGCGATCCTGCAACAAAAAGAAAATAAATTATACATATTACTAAAGAGATTTTAGAGAAGGAATCATATTTTAGTCGAAAATTTATTTAATGAATAATTTCTAAATCATTTTTTATGCAATTAAGGACGGAGGTATCTCTGTGTATAAAAAGTAAGTAAGTAAGTAAGTAAGTAAGTAAGTAAGTAAGTAAGTAAGTAAGTAAGTAAGTAAGTAAGTAAGTAAGTAAGTAAGTAAGTAAGTAAGTAAGTAAGTAAGTAAGTAAGTAAGTAAGTAAGTAAGTAAGTAAGTAAGTAAGTAAGTAAGTAAGTAAGTAAGTAAGTAAGTAAGTAAGTAAGTAAGTAAGTAAGTAAGTAAGTAAGTAAGTAAGTAAGTAAGTAAGTAAGTAAGTAAGTAAGTAAGTAAGTAAGTAAGTAAGTAAGTAAGTAAGTAAGTAAGTAAGTAAGTAAGTAAGTAAGTAAGTAAGTAAGTAAGTAAGTAAGTAAGTAAGTAAGTAAGTAAGTAAGTAAGTAAGTAAGTAAGTAAGTAAGTAAGTAAGTAAGTAAGTAAGTAAGTAAGTAAGTAAGTAAGTAAGTAAGTAAGTAAGTAAGTAAGTAAGTAAGTAAGTAAGTAAGTAAGTAAGTAAGTAAGTAAGTAAGTAAGTAAGTAAGTAAGTAAGTAAGTAAGAAAGTAAAATAAAGTAAAATAATTAAGTAATTAGGTATATTTTAAACAATAAGTCACTATAAAATGACAGAATCCAACTTTAGGTAGGTACTAAACTTTAAGAGACGTATTAATGTGTTTGTATGCTGCCTACTTATATATTTCATGCTGAGAGGTACACTTTTCGATTCGATGGACACTTTTGCTCGTTTTAAAATTACTAAAAGATAAACAAACTGCTTTAAAAAAATTGAGTAAGTTCACCAAGATATCACTCTATCATCGTATAATTTCAGAAAATAAAGGAGCTGTCTGTTAGTGCTGTCTGTATGTTAGTGCCGTTTTATTAAATTAAGTTATAAGTACTACGTTTCAAAGTGAGATGTATCATTTCGAAGTGCGATGTATCGTTACAAAGTGCGATGTACGTTACAAAGTGCGATGTATCGTTTCAAAGTGCTATGTATCGTTTTTTTCGTGTAAAGTGTATTTATATAATGTGTGAAAATATTTTAAAGTAGATTATTATTTTTTAAAGCACAAAACAATTAAAATAAGTTATTGCTGCTATTTGCATGTTCTATTAGAATTAATATGGAATTAATATTTTTTCAATATGCGTTTTCACTGTCATAAGTGTCAATATATTATTTTACGTGTATTACCTTTGATAAAGTTTAACACATTTTTGTAATGTTTACTAATTTCTTTTTAAAGCTATTATGGTTTATTTTAAAGTTTATTTAATATCAACCTCTTTTCTTTTATGATTTTTATTTATTAGTCATCTGGAATTTTGTCAAATTAATGTCAATCACAATCCCAAATTTCAAGACTATTATTTCTAGAATTTTTAATGAAAAATTACTAATATTATTTTTCGCAAATCAGCAATAAAAGACTTGAATATAAAAAATTGCGCGAAAGCTTAACCATTCAAAGATATCAAACATCCGGAAAGTGCTTATTAGACGTCACGAATATTTTCTTTTTATTTTTTTCAAAAGCTTGCGGATTTGAATACAATTCGTGCGAAGTCAAGTCAGTTGTAAAGAAACTGTCAAGCACTCGCTAATGCCTATATACTTACTTCCTGTTGTAATAGAAACTTCAACCAAAAGCTTTCAAAAACCCGTTATGGATTTATCGTGCACAAGATTATAAATCGTAGGTATAATATTTTCGGCATGTAATATAACCTACATATGAACATTTTAAATGCAATTTGTATAGAATTGAGACTTTTCGATCCCATTTGGTATTTTTCTCGTAAACGGGGAAAATGTCCTATGACTTCGCAAAATCTGACGACTGGATTTATATTACAAAAAGAGGTTCTAATTATTTTTTTAAATAGTATATTTTAGGAAAAGTGATTTAGAGAAAACATTTTTTTAAATTTTAAAATAGAAATTACTTTCTCTAATTTTGGAAGAATAGTAAGGAACACTTAGTATATAAAGCCGTAATAAACCGAAACTGTATTAAATAAAACTTCATGTCCTCAGTCTGTTCGTCGGAAAATAAACTGCACGTACATTCAAATTGATCAATACTCACAGAAAGAAAAAGAGGAAATTGTATCTTTTATCTTTCCACCGCAATTTTATTTATTCCAGCAGAACTTTCCTTGCAACCTAATAATGGGAAACTCCGTCTTATTTTCCTCAAATGCGCATCGTCTCAGCTGCGAAACGAGTGGGTAGCCTAGTTTTCTACGGATTCTACACAAGGAAAAATCGCTGCTAAAGAGCAATTTTACAATGTTTTGAATACTGTGAAAATTGAGACCAACATAAAGTTCGATTCTTTATATTAATTTATTGTAATTAATTATATAATTGAAGTTGAAATAATAACGGAGGGGCATGGTTAAGTTTGTTTAAATTATTTTGTAATGTTTAAATCTGGGGAGTGTGTAGTGATTGATATAGTTTAGCCTGGGGGTAGTGGTAATATTTAAGATTTTGTTTTTGATAATAGTACACTTTTGTATCTATAAAAAGTTACGTTTAAAAATTATTAGGGGTAATTATCCCCATTACGCTCCCCCGTATATGTGCCCCTGAGAGAAACAATGCTACATTAACATCTTTAGAGTAGCGGCATCCCCTAAGAATACTCCACCTTCTTTGTGGGACTACGTTATTAAGAATATGTCATATAGTTTGCCTTCTTTAGATTTTTATATAGTTTTATAGTATATTTGATAGTTGCTTCTGCTGCAGTTACATGTCTTTGACTTCTCTTCGTCTACTGTTAGAAATCTCAATCTAGCTGGGCCTTCAATCTCAGGCGACATTTTTGTACAATGCACGCACATTTTTAAAAAATTCCCAATACACTCATAATATACTCATAGTACACTCATAATACACTCAAAATATCCTCACACTGCTCTCGCAATGTTCAAATAGACTTCCAATGCACTCCCAGTCCACTCCCAATGTACCACTAATGCACTTCCAATACACTCCCAATGTACTTCTAAAGCACTTACAATACACTCACAATACACTCACAATACACTCACAATACACTCACAATACACTCACAATTCACTCATAATACACTCCGAATACACTTCCAAGGCACTTCCAATGCACTCACAAGAAATAGAATGAGATAATGAAGAAACATTTACAGATATTTATTATATTAGTTAAATATAATGATCTTCAACATGAAGAGTGTGACACTGACAAAAAAAATATCCAGAAAATGTAATGAAGACGGAGAAGTGATTGGAGATGTGACGGGAGCAGTTGATTTTTAAATAGTGAAAGTGTATCAGAAAATGAGTCGAGCTTAGAAGAAGGCATAATAAATAAAAATGCACTAAATAAATTTGATGATTTTTTTAAACATAAAATGCAAGGATTATAAAGCAAATACCAGAAGTCTTGTCAAATGCGAGGTGAATAATAAAGGTGTTGACGTTATTTTGCCTTTTTGTTTTATCTTAGTGAAATTCTTGCTGAAAATAGTTTTTATACTATTTGAAAGGGACTCTGGAATAAGGTGCAGATTATTGTTTCCCCTTCTTCTTCACATAACCTGCACTGGTAATCCTAACGATTTATCGTTTTTAATCCTGTATATATTTGGTTAAAGTTGGCTGACGCTTCTTTAATAAGTTTAATAAATAATTATCCAGAAATGAGACGAAATTGCTATTTGGTCTCAATCCTGGATAGTTGTTCGACTATCGTGATACTCTTTTTATATCCATTGTTTGATGGATACCTCGCATGCTACTTTAGCATCTTCACAAAAAAGTTAAAGGCATGTCATGGCCTTATTTGAACTTTTGTCGCCCTTTCCATTAACTTGGTGCCCTTCACGGTCTGATACCCAGACTAAATTCCCTATGTTTTGAATACTTAGCTTTGTTAGGGCTTCTGGGCATTATATTACTAGTCGTACCCTGGAAATATACTTGCTATTAAAAGCAGTACCTCTGAGACTGTCAGACACCCACTACGTCACATTACCATAATAAAAAAACAACAAAAATGGAATGTTAGATCGCCTATGATTGAGTCGCAACCAAACACAATATTATAAAATTAAAAAAATCGAAACACCAGCGGATTTTGGTAATGCCTATAAGACAAACAACGTTACTGTTTTTCAGTCCCGCCATAAATAATTATGTTTCAGCAAGCGATCTTAATCGTTCCACCCACGAGCAAATTTCTCAAATTCAGTTTCCTTTCATGTATACAACACATCCGCCTAATCAAGTAACCAAAAATAAAAGTTCTCTCGAAAAGAAAATAAGTAACGAGAGATATGGTCAGCTACAAGAAATTAATTGCATCTTTCGGCGTCTCCCATATGGCGCGGACGATCGTGAATCTGGTTTTTTCCGACCCTTCACAGTTGGCATACTTCTCACTAACACGTATTTAAGACTTCGGGTCTTTATTACTTTTCTCACATCGCTCAAACTGCACATAACGCATCGTCGAGGACCGGAGAATGTGCGCCTTAAAGGCACCAGACTTAGAGGTAAGTTTCAATTTCTTCGAGAAGCTCGGGTGTCATTTAATGGGGCCCGGGAAGTATCTGGAGCACATGTCACGCCCTTTTGCTATTCTCTGAAACCCAGACTCGCTGAAAACGTAATTAGTAAGTTTCTAATGATAATATGTGAGGGATTACAGAGAGATATGCTGGCAACTATATATAGACGTGGAACGATTAGAATGTTACATTATATTATTAGAATGTTGACCTGTCTTTTGATAACTAGAGGAAATATATTATGACATTTTGTGCTATTCTAAGTTGGCTAATTAGCATGTATTACTAAAAATATGTGCCTGTGGAGGGTTTTATTATTTATAGTTAATAGTTTT